TGGCACAAGAACAGGCATATAGACCAGTGGAACAGAACCGAAAACCCAGAAATGGACCCAAGGCAATGCGCTCAATTAATATTTGACAAAGGCGGCAAGAGCATACAGTGGAGTAAAGACAGCCTCTTTAATAAATGGTGTTGGGAAAATTGGACAGCTACATGCAAAAAAATGAAACTAGACCATCAACTTACACCATTCACAAAAATAAACTCAAAATGGATAAAAGACTTAAATGTGACCCGTGAATCCAATACAATTCTAGAAGAAAATATAGGCAACAAAATTTCGGACATCATACGCAGCAGAATTTTCACTGATACATCACCTAAGGCAACAGAAACAAAGGAAAAAATAAACACATGGGACTACATCAAACTGTAAAGCTTCTGCACAGCAAAAGAAACAATCATCAAAATGGAAAGGCAACCCACTGTATGGGAGAACATCATTGCCAGTGATGTATCAGATAAGGGGTTAATTTTCAATATATATAGAGTGCTCATACAACTCCACAAAAGGAAGACAAAGAACCCAATTAAGAAATGCGCAGAGGAGCTGAATAGACACCTCTCCAAACAGGACATACAAATGGCCAAGAGACATATGAAGAAATGCTCAACATCACTAATCATCAGAGAGATGCAAATTAAAACAACAATGAGGTATCACCTCACACCTGTCAGAATGGCCGCCATCAACAAATCATCAAACAACAAGTGTTGGCGAGGGTGTGGAGAAAAGGGGACTCTAATACACTGCTGGTGGGAATGCAGACTGGTGCAGCCGCTATGGAAAACAATATGGTGCTACCTCAAAAAATTAAAAATTGAACTTCCATTTGACCCAGTGATCCCACTGCTGGGAATATACCCTAAGAAGCCTGAAACACCAATCAGGAAGAATATATGTACCCCCATGTTCATAGCAGCACTATTTACAATAGCTAAGATCTGGAAACAGCCCAAGTGTCCACCAGTAGACGAATGGATAAAAAAGCTGTGGTACATATACACCATGGAGTACTATGCAGCAGTAAGAAAGAAAGATCTCTTATCCTTTGAGACGACATGGAGGGTCCTGGAAAGTATTATCCTAAGTGAAAGAAGCCAAGCAGAAAAAGACAAATACCACATGATCTCACTTATATACGGAATATAATGAACATAACAGTCTGAGGAATACAGTAGACCCAGACACATAGAAGTAGGGCACAGATTGACATCCCTCAGAAGAGGGGATGGTGGGTGGGGGGTTGGGAAGAGATAAACCACAGAACTTATATGCATGTATGCATGACCAATGGTCATGGACAACTAAGCCGGGGACAGGGTGAAGGGGGGGTGAAGTGGGGGGTGCCAATGGGGTAAAAAGGTAAAATATCTGTAACAAAATAAATAAAAATTCATAAAAAAAAAAGAAAAAAATAATTTCCTGAAAACCAGTAAAAATAAACACAAAAACACAAAATCTATGGTACGTAGTGAAAGCAGTCCTGAGAGGGAAGTTCAAAGCATTATATGCTTACAGCAGAAAACAAGAAAAATTTTGAATTGACTATCTAACCTAACAACTTAAAGAACTAGAAAGCAAACAAAAAGAAAAACCCAGAGTGAATAGAAAAAAAGACAGAGTAGAGACCAGAGCAGAAATAAATGACATAGAGAATAAAAAAATAATAATTCAAAAGATCAATGAAACAAAGAGCTGGTTCTTTGAAAAGATAAAAAGATTGATGGACCCTTAGCTAGACTCACCAAGCAACAAAGAGAGAGAACCCAAGTATGCAAAATCAGAAATGAAAGAGAAAAAGTAATAACTGACACCACAGAAATACAAAGGATTGTTAACCAATACTATGAACAATTATATGCCAACAAATTGGACAATCTAGGTGAATTGGACACATTTCTAGAATCACATAGTCTCCAAAAAGTGAACATGGAAGAAATAGAAATCTTGAACAGACCAATAACAATTAAGGAAATTGAAGAGATAATCAAGAATCTTCCAGCAAACAAAAGCCGAGACCCGGATGGCTTCAGGAGGGAGTTTTACTGAACATTCCAAGAACTGACACCAAATCTCCTCAAACTATTCCAAAAAATTCAAGAAGGAAGATTTCCAAACTCGTTTTATGAGGCCAGGATAATTTTAATTCCAAAACCAGATAAAGACACTACAAAGAAATAAAACTGAAGGCCATTAACCCCAATGAACACAGATGCCAAAATCCTTAACAAAATATGAGCAAATTGAATCCATCAATACATTAAAAAAATTATTCATCATAATCAAGTGAGATTTATTCCAGGGATGCAAGGCTGGTACAATATTCACAAATCAATAAATGTGATACACCACATAAACAAAATGGAAGATAAAAACCATATGATCTTATCAATAGATGCTGAAAAAGTATTCGACAAAATCTAGCATCATTTCTGATAAAAACTAGATTTAGTAATTGAATTTAGCAAGGTAGCAGGATACAAAATTAACATCAAGAAATTGACGATATTCTTATATACCAATAATGAACTCACAGAAATAGAAACTAGAAAAACAATCCCATTTACCAATACAACAACAATAAAAAATAAGGTACACTGGAATAAACTTAACTAAAGAAGTAAAAGACCTATTTACAGAAAACCACAGGACATTGAAAAAGAAATAGAGGAAGATATAAAAAAGTGTAGCATATATTTTGTTCATGGATAGGAAGAATTAAGATAATTAAAATGTCCATATTACTCAAAGCAATCTATAGATTCAATGCAATTTCCATTAAAATACCAACAACGTATTTCACAGAACTAGAAAAAAAGCTTCAAAAGTTTATATGAAATCAAAAAAGACCCTGGATAGCCACAGCAATCTTGAAAAAGAAGAACAAAGTAGGAGGGATCACAATATTGGATATCAAGTTATACTACAAAGCCACTGTAATCAAAACAGCTTGGTATTGGCATAAGAACAGGCACATAGATCAATGGAACAGAAGAGAGAACCCAGAAATTGACCCAAGACATTGTGCTCAATTAATATTTGATAAAGGTGGTAAGAGCATACAGTGGAGACATGACAGCATCTTTAATAAATGGTGTTGAGAGAATTGGACAGCTACATGCAAAAAAATAAAGCTAGACCACCAAATTACACCATACACAAGAATAAACTCAAAATGGATAAAAGACTTAAATGTGACTTGTGAATCCATAAAAATCCTAGAAGAAAATGTAGGAAACAAAATTTCAGACATCACATGCAGCAAAATTTTCACTGATACAATGTGTAAGGCACGAGAAACAAAGAAAAATGAATACATGGGACTACATCAAACTAAAAAGCTTCTGCACAGCAAAAGAAACAAGCATCAAAATGGAAAGGGGACACACTATATGGGAGAGTATAATTGCCAATGATACATCAGATAAGGGGTTAATTTTCAAAATATAGAGAGTACTCATACAACTCAGCAAAAGAAAAAGAACCCAATTAAAAATTGGACAGAGGACCTAAATACACACCTATTCAAACAGGACAGACAAATGGCCAAGCGACATATTAAAAAATACTCAACGGCATCAACCCATGGACCAGAGAGACCTGGTTCTATTCCACTAAGGGCAAGTACCTCAGTTGCGATTTTTCCCCAGCCCTGATTGGGGTCATGTGGGTGGCAGCCACTTGATGTGTCTCTCTCACATTGATATTTCTCTCTTTCTCTCTCCCTCTCTCCCACTATATCTTAAGATAAATGCAAAAATGTCCTCAGATCAGAATAAAGAAAAAAAGGGCTCAAAGTCACTAATCATCAGAGAGATGCAAATTAAAATGACTCTGAAGTGTTACTTCACACCTTCCTGAATGGCTGCCATCAACAAATCATCAAACAACCAGTGCTGGCGAGGGTGTGGAGACAAGGGGAATCTAGTACACTGCTGGTGGGAATGCAAATGGGTCATGCACTGTGGAAAACAATATGGTGTTTTCTCAAAAAATAAAAAATGGAACTGCCATTTGACCTAGTGATCCCAATCTAGGCATATATCCTATGAAGCCTGAAACACCAGTTGGAAAGAATATATGTACCCCTATGTTCATAGCAACACTATTTACAATAGCTAAGATCTGGAAACAGCGTTAGAGTCCATCAATAAGTAAGTGGATAAAAAAACTGTGGTACATATACTCAGTGGAACAGTATGCAGCTGTAAGAAAGAGCAATCTCATATCCTTTCTTTCTTTATCCTCACCTGAGGACATTTTTCCATTTTTTGATCAGATAGAGTGAAAGCGAGAGAGAGGAAGAGAGAGAGAGAGAGAGAGAGAGAGAGAGAGAGAGAGAGAGAGAGAGATGTCGATGTGAAAGGGACACATCGAGTTGCCACCCACATTACCCAACGAGGGCCAGGGACAAACTGCAACCGAGGTACGTGCCCTTAGCGAGAACTGAACCCAAGTCTCTTGGGATTGCATGCCGACACTCTAACTGCTGAGCCAAACTGGCCAGGGCAAGATCTCATATCCTTTGAGATAACATGAAGGGACCTGGAAAGTATTATGCTAAGTGAAATAAGCCAATTAGAGAAAGACAAATACCATATGATCTCACTTATTTGTGGAATATAATGAACAAAAATAGCTGATGAACAAAATAGACCCAGAGACATAGAAAGGAGTAAGGTTCAGACTGACATACTTCAGAGTGATGAAGAAAACCGAAGAAGTTATATGCATATATGCATAAAACAATGGACATAGACAACAATGCTTGGCTTGGGGGAGGGGGCCAGATACAGAGGAGGCTGTCTGAGGGGATAAAGGAGAAACACCTGTAAGAAAAATAAATTAATTAATAAAAACAACAACAACAACAAGAAAGTGACCCACATTTGATAGAAGTACTAAATCAGTAACCACAATTAGATAAATATATTCATGTATACAGAAAGTTATGTAAAAACATGGAAGATAAAAGGATAAAAGACTCAGTGCTTGCTTCAGCAGCACATACACTAAAATTGGAATGATACAGAGATTAACATGGCCCTTGCACAAACATGACATGCAAATTCTTCAAGCATTCATATATTTATCGGACAGATAAAGCAAAGAAATGAAACTAGATCATATTCTTACACCATATAGAAAATAAACTAAAAATAAAGACAAGTATAAGACTCAAAACCATAAAACTCTTAGAGAATACGTAGGCAGTAATCTCTATGACATTACTCTTAGCATTTTTTTCTGGTATATCTCCTTGGGCAAGGGAAACAAAAGAAAAAAATAAACAAATGGGACTAAATACAACTAAAAAGCTTTTGCAGAGCAAAAGAAACCACAATGAAGCAAAGACACAACCTATTGAATATGAGAAGATATTTGTCAATGATACATTTGATAAAGGTTTAATATCCAAAATGTATAAAGAACTAATATAACTCAACACCACTTCCTCCAAGTCCAATTAAAAAAAAGGGCAAAGGACCTGAATAGACACTTCAACAAAGGGGACATACAGATGGCCAATAGACATATTAAAAAATGCTCAGTGTCACTAACCAGCAGATAAATGCAAATTAAAAGTACAAGGAGAGCCCTGGTGGGTTTGGCTAAGTGAAATAAGTCAGACAGAGAAAGACGAGTATAATATGATTTCACTTGTACGTTAAACTGATGCACAGATACAGAGAACAGACTGACGCATAGTTGCCAGAAGAAGAGGGTTTTGGGGGGCTGGGTGAAAAAGGTGAAGGGATTAAGAAGTACAAATTGGTAGTTACAAAATAATCACAGTGATGTAAAGTACAACATAAGGAATATGGCTAATAATTATGTATGGTGCCATGTGGGTACTTGATCTCTCAAGATTACTTTGTAAATTATTTGATTGTCTAATCACTATGCTGTCTAATCATTATATAAATTAATATTAAATGTCAATGGTAATTCAAAAATAAAATAAAAAAGATGAAAGACTCAAACTAAACTTCTATTGCTAAAAACTAAGTGTAAGAAGGAAAATACAGTTGATGATGTTACATCAGATTAGATATTGCAGGAAAAGTATTCGTAAATTTGAAGACATAAGAGTAAAAAGTATACAAAATGTAATGAAAAGAGAATTAAGAATAACAAGAAAGTGAAAAGAACATCAGTGTGCCGAGGGACAATTTCAATTGGCCTAACATACATCGTACTAGAATTTTCAAAAAAGAATGTAGATTTAAATAAAAAATGGCCAAAACAATTCTAGATTTGATAAAAAAAAATATATACAAACAGTTCCAAGAAACTCAATAAACCTGAGGAACAATAAAAATAAAGAAAACAATACCATACTTAAGACCAGTGTTAGTGAGAAAATCTTAAATCTTAAAAGTAGCTAGAGGAAAAAAGTCTTGTTACATACAAAGAAACAAGAATAACTTCAGATTTCTTCTCAGATACAATGCTAGTGAGAAGATAGTGGGACCACGTTTTTATTTTTTATTTATTTTTATTTCAACATTTAAAAATTTTTTAAATAATTTATTTTTGTTATAAATGTTTCTCCTTTTTTTCCCCATTGACACCCTCCTCTCCATCACTCTCACCCCATATCTGGCTTTGTTGTCCAGGTCCATTGGTTATGCCTACATGCATATAAGTTCAGTGGTTTATCTCTTCCCTCCCCCCACTACCCCCTCTTCTGACTGTTGTCAGTCTGTACTCTACTTTCACATCTCTGGGTCTACCCTGTTCCTCAGACTGTTACGTTCATTATATTCCACAAATAAGTGAGATCATATGACATTTGTCTGTCTCTGCTTCGCTTGTTTAGCTGAGAATAATACTTTCCAGGTCCCTGCATGTCATCTCAAACAATAAAAGATCTTTCTTTATTACAGCTGCATACTACTCCATTGTGTATATGTACCAGTTTTTTATACATTTGTCTACTGATGGACACTTGGGCTTTTTTCAGATCTTAGCTATTGTAAATAGTGCTGCTATAAAAATGGGGGTATATATATTGTTTCTGATTGGCGTTTCAGGCTGCTTAGGGTATATTCCTAGAAGTGGGACCACAGGATTAAATGGCAATGCGATTTTTAATTTTTTGAGGTAACACCATATTGTTTTCCATTGTGGTCGCACCAGTCTGCATTCCCAACAGAAGTGTACTCGAGTCCTCTTTTCTCCACACCATCGCCAACATTGTTGTTTGATGATTTGTTGATGGCAGCCATTCTGACAGGTGTGAGTTGATACCTCATTGTTGTTTTAACTTGCATCTCTCTGATCATTAGTGATGTTGAGCATTTCTTCATATTTCTCTTGGCCATTTGTGTGTCGTGTTTGGAGAGGTGTCTATTTAGGTCCTCACCCATTTTTTAATTGGGTTCTTTGTTGTCCTTTTGTTGAGATATATGAGTACTCTATATATTTTGGAAATTAACCCCTTAGCTGATGTATCATTGGCAGTTAGGCTCTCCCATACAGTGGGTTGCCTTTCCATTTTAATGGTTGCTTCTTTTGCTGTACAGAACCTTTTGAGATTGATGTAGATATGCGTTCATTTTCTACATTGTTTCTGATGCCTCAGGTGATGTATCAGTGAAAATTCTGCTGCGTATAATGTCTGAAATTTTGTTGCCTACATTTTTTTTCTAGGATTTTTATGGATTCATGAGCCACATTTAAGACTTTTATCCATTTTGAGTTTATTCTTGTGTATGGTGTAAGTTCATGGTCTAGTTTTGTTTTTTATTGCATGTAGCTGTCCAGTTTTTCCAACACCACTTATTAAAGAGGCTGTCTTTCCTCCATTGTGTGCTCTTGCCTCCTTTGTCAAATATTAATTGAGCATAATGTCTTGGGTCCATTTCTGGGTTCTCTATTCTGTTCCACTGGTCTATATGCCTGTTCTTGTGCCAGTACCAGGCTCTTTTGATTACAGTGGCTTTGTAGTATAACCTGAAATCTGGTAATGTGATCTCTCCAACTTTGTTCTTCTTTTTCAAGATTCCTGTGGCTATTTAGGGTCTCTTATGATTTCATATAAACTTTTGAAGTATTTGTCCTACTTCTGTGAAATATGTTGTTGGTATTTTGATGGGGATTGCATTGAATCTATAGATTGCTTTGGGTAATATGGACATTTTAATGATGCTAATTCTTCCAATCCATGAACAAGGTCTGTGCTTCCACTTTTTTATATCTTCCTTTATTTCTTTTTTCAATATCCTGTAGTTTTCTGCAAATAGGTCCTTTACTTCTAGGTATCTTATTTTTTTGGCCGCGATGGTAAATGGGATTGTTTTTTCAGTTTCTCTTTTTGTGAGTTCATCATTGGTGTATAAGAATGCTGTTGATTTCTTGACTTTAATTTCGTATCCTGCTACTTTGCCAAATTCATTTATTAAGTCTAGTAGATTTTTGATGGAGTCTTTAGGGTGTTGTATGTATACTATTATGTCATCTGCAAATAATGACAGTTTCACTTCCTCCTTTCCAATTTGGATTCCTTTTATTTTTTCTTCCTGTCTGATTGCTGTGGCTAAGACTTCCAGTACTATGTTAAATCAGAATGGTGAAAGTGGGCATCCCTGTCTTGTTCCTGTTCTTAAGGGAAATGCTTTTAATTTTTGCCTATTGAGTATGATGTCGGCTGGAGGTCTTTCATATATAGTCTTTATTGTGTGAGGCTATGATCCCTCTATTCCCACATTACTATGTGTTTTCATCAGAAATGGGTGCTTGATTTTGTTGAATGCTTTTTGAGCATCTATTGATATGATCATGTGGTTTTTATTCTTCATTTTGTTTTTGTAGTGTATCACATTTATTGATTTCCGAATATTGTACCAGCCTTGCATCCCTGGGATGAATTCCACTTGGTAATGGTGAATAATTTTTTTGATGCATTGCTGGATCCGATTTTCTAGTATTTTGTTCAGAATTTTGGCGTCTATGTTCATCAGGAATATTGGCCTGTAGTTTTCTTTCTTTGTAGTGTCTTTTTCTTGTTTTGGAATTAAAATTATGCTGGCCTCATAAAAAGAGTTTGGAAGTCTTCCTTCTTCTTGAATTTTTTGAAATAGTTTGAGGATAATGGGTGTTAGTTCTTTTTTGAGTGTTCAGTAAAACTCTCCCATCAAGCCATCTGGGCCTGGGCTTTTGTTTGCTGGGAGAGTCTTGATAACATCTTCAATTTCTGTAGTTGTTATTGGTCTCTTCAAGTTTTCTATCTCTTCCTGGTCCAGTTTTGGGAGACTATGCGTTTCTAGAAATTTGTCCATTTTGCTTAGATTGTCAAATTTGTTGCCATATAATTGTTCATTGCAGTTGTTAATGATCTTCAGTATTTATCTGGTATCATTTGTTACTTCTCTTTCTTTTCTGATTTTGTGTATTTGGGTTCTCTCTCTTTGTTTCTTGGTGAGTCTACCTAAGGGTCCATCAATCTTGTTTATCTTTTTGAAAAACCAGCTCTTTGTTTCATTGATCTTTTGAAAAAAATTTTTTTTGTCTCCATGTCATTTATTTCTGCTATGATTTTTACTATTTCTTTTGTTCTACTTTTCTGGGGTTTTCTTTTTGTTTGCTCTCTAGTTCTTTAAGTTCTGAGGTTAGATAGTCTATTATAAGTTTTTCTTGCTTCTTGGGGTAGGCCTGTAGTGCCATGAACTTCCCTCTCAGAACTGCTTTTGCTGTATCCCATAGGTTTTGTGTTATTGTGTGTTTATTTTCATTGGATTCCAGGAACTTTTTAATTTCTTCCTTGATCTCCTCGGTTACCCATTCATTGTTTAATAACATGCTATTTGGCTTCCTTGTGTTCAAATGTCTTTGCATGTTCTTGTTGCAATTGATTTCTAGTTTCCTGCTATTGTGATGTGAGAAGATGCTTGATATGATTTCAATCTTCTTGAACTTGTAGAGACTTAGTTTGTGTCCTAACATGCGGTCTATATTTGAGAACGTCCCATGTGCACTTGAGAATAATGTGAATTCTGCAGTTTTGGGGTGTAATTCTCTGTAGATATCCATTAAATCCATTTAGTCTAGTGCTTCATTTAGAGTCTCTGTTTCCTTGCTAATTTTTTGT